TCCTTCTGCCCTTTGTACTGCAACAATGGGCGGAAGCACAGCCTTGTTAGAGGAAATTCCCAGGGCCATACTTTGGACATTAGACAGTTGCTTTGCTATGCAGGGTAGGCCGATGTGCATCTAAAAATAAACACACTGATCTGCAAGGGTGTCTATGATTTTGCCCTGAACAGTTGATTATATTTCAAAGGGATTTGGTTTTTAAGAAAGTGCACTTAGGTAAACGTCAAGAATAAACTGTATCATGGCTTTGTTTCTATGTGACAAACCGCAGCATTCTCTATACCAATTATGTTGACAGGATTGCTTCTTTTTTTGCCCCAGGATCTCAAAGTAAGACTGAAGAAAGCAAAGGCATGATGGGATGCTGTCCAGCACCTTTGGAAAGGTGTGAGTTCTGAACTGCAAGACCAGCAAGTTCTTCTCAGTCCCAGAAGAATAAAAGTTTTAGCCAAGAAGTCTCAGGCAGTCTGGGCCCACTTACGCTGAATTCTCACTTCTCCACGTCCTCAGCTGGCAAAGAGGCTGCAATTAATGTGGCTTATTTCACAAGGAAGAAAAGGTGGGTGGAAGGCAGTGGCTGATGAACGTGACTCAGATTCTCTTCCCAAAAGTCAGATATCCCATTCATAGAACTTGCAATTTGTAGGATGGTGGAACCATTTAATTTCACTTTTCGAAATTAGATTCCTGAGGGACTAAGATTCCCATGTAGTGGGCCCTGTCTATGCATCACAGAGAAGAAATCAGAGACAAGGCTCTGAGTCTTGCTGATATTTGCCTGACTCTACTTTGGCTGAAAATGTACCAAAATGTGGCTGTTTCCCAGCAAATAGGAATGTGTGCGCAGCACCAAGGCTGACCCACCATCTAGTTAGAGTCACCCAAGAAGAATGGTTTGGAATGAACTTTTCCCTCCTCATTGTTCCCATTTATTTTTCCCTTTTCCTGGAAGTCCAATCTGCTCTATTGTTGCAAAGATCCTATTTTAAAATTATTGCCATAAAAAAAAAAGTAGGGCTAGCCAGTGAAAAGTCAGCTCACATCACTTTAGCGAGCTTGGTGATTTTTTTTTTTCTTGCAGCCCTTTATTTGGTGGCTTGGATTAGGACACTGACATCATGGGACTTTGGGGAGCGGGAAGGAACCTTCGAGGTCATCACCCAGACCCCACCCAGTGTAGGCATCCCTTTGGGAACACCCCAGCCACGGTCTTCCAGGGTGCTGGACCATTTCCCAGAACTGGGCGTTCCCCACACCACAAGGCAACTCACCCCCTTTGGACAATTCTGATGGTGGGTAAATCCTTCCACACATTGAGCTGAAATCTGTTACCCTATAATTTCCACTTGTTGATCTGGTGGCCTTCTCTTTTCCCACACAGAATAATCTTTAAATATTTGAGGCAGCTTCATGTGCTGCATGACACACTTCTGCCTTCAAGTGGCCCTTTGTATGTTCCTTCAACTATTCTGCTAGTGACAATTTTCTCATTTTCACCATCCTGGCCAGTGTCCTCCTTTAAGATTTGGTATATTTCTTTAAATTTGGCCGTATGGGGTTTGAACTCAGGACCTAAAGTAGAATTCAAGCTATGCCTCCAGCCCTATTTGCTGTATGTTATTTTTCTAACAGGGTCTAGCATTTTCCCTGGCCTGGCCTTGGACTGTGATCCTCCTATTGATGCCTCCTGCCTAGCTGGAATTATAGAGGTGAACCATCATGCCTGGCTTGCTTGTTGAGAAGGAGTCTCACTAACTTTTTCCCCATGCTGACCTGCAACTGCCATCCTCCCAAGCTCCTGAGTAGCTAGGATTACAGGAATGAGCCACCACACCCAGCCCCAATATCTGGTATATTTCTTGAAGCAATGTATTAGTCACTTCAGCTCACGAATCTTCTTTACACTTTGTATGCTAAATATCAGCACATAATTCCAGAAACAAAACCAAAATTTAGCAAGGTACAATTGCTTATCTAAGGGGTAACAAGTGGAGGATTTAAAACCAGGTCTGCTTCATTCTGGCCCACCACCTGCCTCTGATTAAAGAAGAAATGTCAGTTGGGCGCTGGTGGCTCATGTCTGTAATCCTATCTACTCAGGAGGCAGAGATCAGGAGGAGCGTGGTTCAAAGCTAGTCTGGGCAAATAGTTCTGCAAGACCCTATCTCAGAAAAACCCTTCACCAAAAATGGCTTGTGGAGTGGCTCAAGGTGTAGGCCCTGAGTTCAAGCCCCATACCGAAAAAAAAAAAAAGAAGAAATGTCAAAATGTAGCCAAGTTTGGTCTCAGACTGAGATGGGTGGCAGTACACTAGACACCTCCATTGCAGGTTAACATCCCTTTTTCTGCCATGACTTGGACTTAGCGAGAGAGATTAATGGGAATTTAGGCAGTTAGGAAGTGATCAGCCAAAGAACACCGCTGAAAGGCAGCTGGAGAAAGGTGTGCCTGCAGGAAGTATGAGGCAAAGAGAAATATGAGGAACAGGAAGCAAGAAAGAATTCTGGATGTCCAGGAAGTATTTCATCTGGAAGCTTCAGATGATGCAGGTGCAAGAGAAGAGGGCTTGAGAGCAGTCACTTGAGAATGCCTAAGCAGCTTGTGTCAGCCTGAGCCTGGTGGTTGGGTCTGGGGAACAAATAGAAAGTATTTCTTTTCTCCCAAAAGTCTATACACCCCAGAAGAGTGCAAGGCCTGGGACAAATACACCAAGCCCTTCAACATTCAGTTCTAGGTGAAATTTGACTAACATAAATCTTAGGAAGGAATAAGGAAGTTCTACATGGAGTCAGTAGGGGAGTCCTTTCTGGATTGCTACAGTGAGGTTTGATGTAAGGGACTGGCTATATATGTCTATGGGCATCTAAGGATTTCTTCAGCACTTGGTAGAGCTTTCTTTTTTCTTTCTTTCTTTCTTTCTTCTGGCTGCTTTCTGGAAGCAGAAATTGCTTAAAGATAGAGTTGCTTCTCTCCTCAGTTGTCCTGACTCAAGTTGGCTCCATACCCAGTAACTAAGGCCTCATAGATTTTCTAGGCTGCAAGGAAGGATCCAGTGTCTCTAAGAACAGTGCTCATGTCTATGGCTGAGCACATGGGCATAGCAGTGAAATAACTCCCTTCAGATCTCTTTGCTGCTCTGACTCAGAGAACAGCAGAGCACTGTCCTCAAATTATGATGTAGCATGGGGGGATGTGAGTGCAGAGGTGCCCTGGATGTGGTCTTCTCTGTGCACTCCCATGAAGTCAGGGGCTTCTCTTCCCTGGAGTTCTTTCTTGTTTGCTGATTGGGAAAAATGGAGATTTACAGAAAGGTTGTGGACCCATCTAAGTCACCTGGCAGGTGCTGGAGTAAACTCAGACCTCAGAGCATAGTGCAACTTTCTTTCTGCTTAACTACACTGTCTTCAAGCTCCTGATGCCTTAACGTGGGTGTGCCAACATTTATTAGAAATCGGGCTTCTTTAAATTCTCCTTAATATTTTTATAGGGAGGAGCAGGGTAGAAGATGATAAAAAGTCCTCTAGACTGGTTGTTGCATGAGACAGGGTTCATATCTGCTTCATTTGCCATTGTATTCCCAGCACACAGCAAACTGCCTGGAATGTAGAAGGCGCTTGGTATTGCCAAAAAAGTAAGTCTCTGACTTGGAGTGGTGAAGAGTGGGGAGTACGGATTGGGAAATACCTCAAGAGAGAGGCTGTCCACATGAGGAGATAGATTCTAGAAGATATCACACATAGTAGATACTCAAAACACTTGGTGAGCCAGGCATGGTGGCATGTACTGTAATCTCGACCCTTGGGAGGCTGAGGCAAGAGGACCAGGAGTTCCAGGCCAAGCTGGGCCTTACATAGTAAGGCCTTGTCTTAAATAAAAATGGAGGGGGTGCATAAATAAATCCAGAAAAATCTCTGAGGGAAAAAAGAATGGGCTAAAACATGATGGGGACTGACAATCTCTTTGGGAAAATTTTAAACCATAGATATCGTTCTGGTAATTAATTTACATTCTTCAGACAATGTATTCATTCATTTCTTTGTTCATTCATTCATTCAACAAACACTGAATACAAGCTATATACTAAGCATTGTGTCAAGTGCTATGGATTTGGAAATAAAAAGCCAGTATCTCCTCGGGATAAGAATAAGCATAGCAACCAAAATGTAATGTGCTAAGAGCTGTGACAGAAATATTTCACCAAGTGCCATAAAAGCATAGACCTGTGAAAGTGGACTGGATAATGGTACCTGAAGGGTAAAATCAGGTGTTAATGGGTAATTAGGTGGTGATGGCGAATGGACGTATCCAGGCAGGGAGAACAACACAGCCAGACAGACATCACTGGGCAGTAGAGAGCTCACATTATAAGGAAATGGAAGTATTCAGTACAGTTAGACAGTCAGGTGGTGAGAGGTGAGGCCAGCAGGATGATATAGGGCAGACCTTGAATGTCTCCTCTATCCTCCCCAAATCTGTGCTTCACAAATTTTGTAGCACACATAGATCCCCCAGAATCCAGATAAAATGCAAATTCAGTAACTCTGGGGAAGGAGTGGAGAAGGTGTTTCTCTGACAAGCTCCCAAGTGATGCCTGATGCAGCTGGTACCCCAGCAACACTTAGGTGGCATGGATGTAAGCTGTGGGGTGCAATAAATGTATTTCACTGAGGAGAGTGACACGATCAGAATGGCCTTTTCCCAACAACCCTGTAGCGGGACATGGAGGGCAGAATGGAGGGACACTATACTGAAGTAAAATGCATAGTGGCAAAAAATTATGAACATCTAAACTAAATAAGTTAGTGAAGAATGGTATGTGTTTAGTAAGATAGTCCATGGAGTCAGTAAAAGATATTTCTCCCAGAGGAAAAGCTGGTTATGAGGATGAAATAAAACAACAAAAACATAAGAAGCCCATCTCCCTACCCCACCAAAAAAAAAAAAAGAAATTCAGAGAACTAAGAATTGCTATTTGTCTATGCCTTGGCCTTTCTTACCATTTGAGCCACTCCACCAGCTCTTAGACCTTTCTCAACCAGTCAAAGGTTGAACACCATCTCCAGCAGAGTAGATAAAATCAGCCATCACTTGATGTATTTGTTACTACTTCCACTGAATTTAAGGGAACTCCAGGATTTTCATAGAAAATTGTGAAAAAAAAAAAAAAAACACATGAAATTCCACCAGATTCCAGAACAAAGTGCTTGTTCCTTTACTTACAATGCACAGGTGCCCTAAATTAGAAGCACCTCATTTTATTTCTCTTAGTAAATCCTCTGTCAGCCTTGATATACCTTTAACTAAAAAACTCAGACAGTGTTGATAAGAAAAGGCAACTGACAAACTTTTCCCCCTTATGTGGAAGCCAAAAATACAACTTCTAATGCGGTTTGTCCTCCAAAGAAAATCAGAACTGGCCCCATGTTCTGTGTACTATGCTGGTTGTTATTCTTTATTCAAAGAGGTACAGGTTTAAAAAAGCCAAATTGTCATCTCCCTCTCATTTTTCCTCATAGTTCTCTATATCAGCAAATCTCCACAAAACACACAGGTTGAGAACAGAGAGCCAAAGGAAAGTGCGGTATGAACACACACCTCTGCTTTACAGCACCTCAATTCACACACAACAAGACAAGCAAAAGAACACAGGTACCTACCTTTCTCTTCTGTGGCTTGAAGTCTCCTGAAATTTAACCCTGTACTTTCCCCCAAAACTCTTAGGTGAGGTGAAACTTAAGATGGGTCCATTCAATCAGGCAACCCGAGGAGGGTGGAGTTTCACAAGACCAGACTTCAGATGGCCACTCAGGCTTCCGGACCTCAGGGAACAGAGGTGAGCTACCGTCTGTTCTCTGCTCTAGGCAAAGCCTAGAGACTCAGTGTGGCTGGAGGTGGGGGCGGAGGCTGGGGGAAGGGAAGTAATATGGGGACTGTAATAAATAAGACATCCTCCCCACATGATTTCCTGTATTTGGTGCCTCATGCATCCCTCCAGGCTCCCTAGAGGAAATAAGAAATTTAAACTTGTCCTTTGGTTATTGAAAAGAGAACAAACATGCTCAGAGCCATGAAAATGAGAACAAGCAGGGCAACAGACAGGGAGTGGATGGGGCCAGCCAGCTTTACCTTTCACCAAGTACTTTCTTCCTGAAGTTCCTCCAAGAGTTTAACTCTGCAAAAGTCAAGAATGCCCTCATCCTCCTTCACTGAACTGAAGCTTATTCTGGCTGTGATCCAGACGTCCATCTATAATAGAGCAGCTGGTGAGAAGCAGGTCAGAAGGGGCTCAGGAAGAATCTGTTCCCTGGCCTCAGGAAAGACTCTCTGCTCTGTCTTTGGCAAGGCTGATGACATTCTGATTTTAATCTTGAAAAACTCCTAAAGTCCTAGGTCTTAAACAATTACCTGAAGGCTACAATTCATAGATTTCTGAAGAGATCATCTTGTACATAATTTGTGGGGCTCAACATAAGATGAAAGTGCAAGGCCATTCATTTGAAATTAAAATTTTCAAGATGGTGATACTAAAACATTGAATCAAGTGGGAGGGGGACCCTCTGAGCACCTAGCTCTGTACAACTGCACAGGGTATATTCCCATGAGGCCAGCCCAGGCCATACAAAAAGGTAGGAACTCTGGGGTACGTTGACTTTAATAGGATGAGTTGTCAAGAGGCTCTATGGGGTGATTGTCGACCCTTGAATAGCAGTTCCTTCAGAAGCTGGTGCAAGGAGGAGCATGCTGAGATGTGCGTGTGAGCAGGCCCAGACCTCAAATGTATCACTGAACTAAAATCACACCAGTTGTTTCCTCCTCAGTCTTCTGCTCACCTCGACTCCATTCTCCTGCTAGCAGCCAGGGCACTCTTCCAAACACAGTCTTCATGGTAAGGCTCCCATGTTTAAATTCATCCACTCGCTTTAAGGATAACAGTCAAACACTTCGACATAACATAGCTAACTTCTACTTTCCTCAAAGCCCTGTCCACCTTCACACTCCTCATACTCTTTTTTATTTCCAACTTTCCTGCCTCTCCCCATTTATGGCAATTGTCTATGAAGAATAATTTGCCCCCTACATCCAATTCTTTGAATCTCAGAGTCTCCAGAAAGCATTCTCTGATGCCTGGGCCCCTGTGTTGTTCTTCCTTAGCAAATCATTCTTTTCTTTTTCACAAGGCTCAAAACTTGTCTGCTTATCCCTATGTGTCTTGCTGGGCTCTCTGTGAGGTGTGTAGTGGGTCTGTTTCAGCATTATGTCTCCAGGACCTGGGACCCAGCAGAGTTTGATTTGGTAAATTCAGGGTTAGTAAGAGGAATATTTATTAATTACAGTTACGTATTACCTGTAGGGGACGAGAATTATACCACGATTGTTGTTAGAGTTTTTATAATTTATACTTAGGCAGAAGAGAGCAGACACAGAAGATAATGCTGCAGTTTAATATTTATTAAGATGCCACAGGTTGTCCTGTGCTGCACATCCCTGGTCTCATGCAGACTAAATTATGAGTAGGTGATGCTTTTTGTTTAGAAATGGAACCACAGATATGCCCACAAGTGTACCAGAGTTAGTAAGGGTGAAGGAAAACATGAGTTTTTTGGAGGTGAGGAAAGAAAGAGGAATGTCAAATGGGGTTGTGGAAAGGAAAGAGGAAAAGAGGAGGGAGGAAGGCGAGAGGAAGGACGAAGGCAAAGAGGTGGGAAGAAGTACAGGAAGGGAAAAGGTTAGAAGCAGGAAGATAACAGGATCAGGAGGAAAACCACCATCAAAGGTCAGCATTTCCGCCATACACAGCACCAAAGACAGGCTCTGCATTTCCTGCCTGAGTCCCTACACCTCTCCTAGCACCCTGATGAATCAAAAGTCAGAAGGGAATCCAGGAACGTGCCACAGTGCTGCTGTAACAATGGAGAAATTAGTTTCTGCATTTTGCTTGGACATTGAAATATTACTAAAGTCACATAACCATTTGTCATTTCACAGTTTTAAGCATGTCTCTGAGAAGGTTGCAACTGGAATTTCTAAGCATGTATTCAGGTTTTTTCTTATAGTTCCCCTGAATCAAGTGGTCACTTTGTCTCTGCACAAAGGCTGTACTTGGCTGAGAAGCCCCAGTTGAGGCTGCCTGACTCAGAGACCCATATGCTAACATCTGTGAAGATAATCAAAGCATGTATATTTTGAAAATCTAGCTTTGTGCACTGAATTTGAATTCAATATATCTATATATCTACAATAAAGCAAAGATATTTAGTAAACCAATTGTTTGACTTTTCTTCAAGTCTCAGTTTGGTTTCTAATTAGTGGATATTACCTCCATTGAAAAAATGGAAGTGTCAGGAATGAGTAAAAGACTTAAAAGAGGAAACAAATGACTTATTGTCCTGTCAACAGAATATTGAGTGTTGTCTAGCAGATTTGTTGATGGGAAGTGAAAGGAAAGGGGTCTATACCTTTGATTATCTTTGGCTGGCTATTTTATAATTCTGAAAGACATAGAAATTAATAGTAATAGAAATGATTCTTGTTCCTAGAAATGTAAATTAATTCTGTTCAGAGAAGATATAAGCAATTTTTGCCCTGTAGAAATGCTTATTCCAAACAAAACATTGTAGAATATCATAAGAAATTATCCAGTTCTCCATCTATTAGCAAATTCAGTTTGGCATTCCTGATTATCTATGTATGAATATATGTGTACCTGAGATGTCCCTCTGGAAGAATTTTAACATCTTACCTGACACCACTTTAATTCATGAGTTAAATACTATCTCTGTCACATGTTTATTTTGTGTTTATATGAGAATTATAATTTCACTTTTTTGAAAATGACCTTTTGACAGAAAGCAAGTGATAAACAATGCTGGTAGCAAGTTTTTTTCAGGAATTTGCATGGCAGAGAACTGTTTTCTTAAATACTTAACTAGTTTTATATGTTCTCTGAGTATATAAAATAAAAGCAGAGAGTAAACTAAACATGTTGGTTATCAATGTAAATGACAGGAGGACAGGTGGCTGAAAAGAGGTGCAGAGTGCTCACCTGCTCCTCCACAAAGAACCAAAGCAACAGGTGTATGGCTGCATTTTGAGGTGAGCAACTGTAGGGAAACACTGGAAATCAACAAGAAAGAGAAGGAGACTGAACACCGTAGGATTCAGAGACCTAGGACAATACCATAGAAAGTAAAATAAAATACCCCAGTGCTTCAGAGCAGGGAGAGGGAGTATTCCCTTTGCAGGGGTAAGAGTGATAGAGTTCCAGCAAGGTATCAGTGCAGATTCCAGCAATCCTAGCTACTGGGAAGTTTCACAGTCCTCACAGTCCATCCATTTTGCTTGATAAGTAACCTGAAATCTGCACAGCAGTTCCACTTTGGAAGAGGGTTTCACATCATATCCCAGTGAACCCCACAGTGCTACACCAGGAGCCATTTTGAGAAGGGAGATTGGTGGGGGAGAGGGGGTTCATTACTGAATTTTACCAAACTCTTAAAGAAGAATTAATGTGAATTCTGCTCAAACCATTCCATAGAATTGAAACAAAGTGAATCCTTTCAAATTCACTCAGAGAATAGCATTACCTGTTTCCAACACCAGACAAGGACATGAAAAAAGAAAGAATGAATGAAAGACAGGGGGAAAAAAAGAAAACTATAGACCGATATACCTGATGAACATAGATGGAAAGCCTCTCAACAAAATATTTGCAAATAAACTTCAACAGAACATCAGAAAGACCATTCCCCATGATCAAGTTGGTTACATCCCAAGGATGCAAGGATGGTTCAACAAACACAAATCAATATATGTAATACATTCCATTAACAGAATGAAGGATAAAAATTACACTATCATCTTAATAGATGCAGAAAAAGTGGTTCATAAAATTGAAACTTTCTTAATGATAAAAATAACACTGAACAAACTAAGTATAGAAGGATTGTACCTCAGCATAATAAAGACTATATCTGATAAACATCTTACTGAATGCAGAAAAGTTAAAATCATTTCCCCTAAGATAAGGAACAAAACACAGCTGTCCACTCTCACTGCTATTACTCAATACAGTACTGGAAGTTTTAGCCTAAGCAATTAGGCAAGAGGAAAAAAATAAAGGCATACAAACAGGAAGGGAGGAAGTCAAGTTATCTACTTGCAGATGCTATGATTGCATATGTAAAAAACCTCCACAAAAGATTCTACCAAATTATTGCATTTAGTAAAGTAGCAGGATACAAAATCAACATAAAAAAATCAGTAGCAGTCTCTACATCAACAATGAATTTGTTGAGAAAGAAATTATGAAAGCAATCCCATTCACAATAGTTACCAAAAAAAAAATACTTGAGAATAAACTTAACCAAAGAAATGAAAGATCTTTATAATAAAAAGTAGAAAACGCTGATAAAAGGAGATGAACAAGTCACAAAAAGATGAAAAAATCACCTATTTTCATGAAGTGGAAGAATGAATATTGTTAAAATGTCCATATTATGCTCAAAGTGATTTACACATTCAATGAAATCTCTGTCAAATACCAATGACATTCTTCATAGAACTAGGGGAAAAATTCCTAAAATTCATATGGAAGCACAAAAGACTCTGACTAGGCAAAGCAATCTTGAGCAAAAAGAACAAAGCTGGAGGCATTGTAACATATGATTTCAAAATATACCTCAGAGCCATAGAATCCAAAACAGCATGGTACAATGAAACAACAGAATTCCAAAAAAATGAGCCCACACTTCTACAGTCAACTGATTCTCAAGAAGGTGACAAAAACATCCATTGGAAAAAGGATAGCCTCTAACAAATGGTACTGGGAAGACTA